ATGATAATTATCATAATGAAAGCTTTCTGATTAATAAAAAATGTCATGGTTGGTAGAATGCAATGTCTTTATTGATTCAATAATCAGTGCCTCTAAAACGGAGAACGCACATCTCTACAACGCTGAACCAGTTTTCATATCACAGATGCAGAAGTTATTCATTCAGCTATTACCAGGTCAATATACATGAAGTAAAAATGGGTACCTGTAGGTAAATAATGGAACAGTACAGAAGCGTAACTCTTATTTTTATGAAAGACAGGAATTTATTACGAATGATAAGCATCTTTTTATATTATGAAGATAACCCTTTTTTTTTTTTATTTGCTCCATCAAAACTATAGCCTCGTGAGACCATCCTGATCTTGTGAGCTCTCAAGATTTCACTCGCTAATCAGTCTGGAGACTCCGTTGAAGAAAATTTGGAGCCGTTCACCAAACGAACGTCCAATCAGCGTTGACTTTGAGGCGGGTTGAGGTGTGACGCAACGAGAAGCGCGACAGTTCAGTCTAAAGAACATGGCAGCTTCAGCCGATGAAACTAGCGTTAGCGTGGCTATAGAGCAAGTTTTATCGGAATTACACTGTATTTCTTCACTGAAAGAAGAGCAAAACACTGCTCTGGAGGCTTTTCTCAGAGGAAAAGATGTTTTTGCTCTTCTCCCGACTGGTTTCGGCAAGAGTTTGATCTATCAATTGGCTCCTCTTCGTCGTTGCTCTGTTACGTCATATGCTTCGTTGATCTGATTGGTCTATTTGGCCCGTCTATCACCAACATAGGCCAATCAGCTAACCAGTATTTTCGCCCCTTCCCAAAATTACTTCAACGGAAGGTTTCCAGATGGATATACGGAGCACATCCATCTGGCGGAGTCAGGTTATTAAAACTATAAGCCATTTCACTTTTTTTTTTATTTTTTTTATAGATTTCTTAATTAATTCTGTGTTTAAACTATCCAAAGCTCATAATCATGGTTTACAGAAGGCACCAGCCATAGCAATGAAATCCTTTTTTCAGGTATTTTGTGAATCACTGATCAGCTGATACTATTTCTGGTTTTCTGTCACGGATGTGTTTTTCCTCAGGAGTAAAAAAAAAACAAACTTGAAATCCAATAAATATCATGGAAATAGATAAACCCTATTTAAGTTCAAAGCATATATTTTTATCTGAACTTATGAAAAAGTGGTTTTGAAGTGCATGTTAGCTGTTTTAGATTATATAAATAAGTTTAAAAAAAAGGAAACTGAATTTGTCATAATTTGGTGTTTTGATTAACAGGTAATGATTTATGCATGTTGGAATTCATTTCAGGTTCTACACGTTCTGATTTATCTAAATTTGCTGCAGGTAAAGAAAATGACACCCAAACAAGCTGTGCACTAGTCCTTCATCACATTGCTGAAACAGAGCTCAGACTCAGCACTTTGGATCTGGTGAACGTTCAAAGTGAGCTTGATAAATTTTTGTAACTCAAAAGTCTGTAAATATCGAGAAACAATGAAGAAGGTTAGGTTAAAAAATCATGGATGTTTGAAATGGAAGATTAGTAGGAACCTGTTTAGCTGTACACCCCCCCTCTGCTATAAACAATGGAAGCATCATCTATAGAAACCCTGTTTTTAAATCATTAAGGCTTTTAAAAAAGAATAAATAATGAATAATCCCTTCAAATGAGGTTCCTTTGAACATAAACTTTCTCCCAGCTTTTACAGGAACTTCTCTGGTGGCTGACCTGGTAGGCAGATTATTTCATCTGTAACAGACTGGTTAATGTTTTAGTTAAGTGGACTGAAGACACTTCTTAAAGTCAGCTTTACGTTAAGGCTGGATGACCCGCAGCAGAATAACTTGGCAGCCAAGTTATGCTGATGGTGCTGCATGATGGATATTTGTGTGCATCTCTCAGGATTGAGGACTGGATCCTGACTAAACCTACTCCAAGCATAGGAGAGCAAAGGCGAAGAAAACCCCCATGATTCACAGCTGCCTACAGACATTAAGTACCACAGCAGACAAACAGGCCTTCTGCTACAGCCAAGGATTTCTAATTTGACTCATCAGTCTAAAGCACCTGCTGTGTCTTTCTGCTACCGACTTCCTGATTTGTTTTTTGTGTGCGTTTTGTTTTTTACTTGTCTGAAGATTAAGCTTTTTGGCTGCAGCCTCTAATCAGACTTTGGACATCATACCATGACTTTGTATGTTAAAATATTCATCACAGAAAGCCCCTGCTGTTGGAGCCGCTCTGGTAAAGATGCATGACCATGATCCTGGATTTTATCTGGGTATATCTAGGCCCAAAGTTATTCATATCCCTGATATCCCGACATCTAGGACATCCTGTCATTTTAACTGTATGCTTCTTGTGGCTGGAAGTATTATTAACCTTTTACTGAGACCCAATTGAGCCACTCTGCATTCACAGAATCAGCAGGTAGAGAATCTAAGAATCAAAGCCCCAAAGGTACCGTAATTACAAAAAGAACAATAATGGGTTGAATGCTCTAATGTAGAAGAGTTTTCCACAATACTGAGAAGGGGTATGAGTTTTTATAAGCATTCTTTTCTTTAAAATTTAAACATTCTTTTTATTTTTTACTGTTTCAAGATTATTATTTGATTCAAGATTATCATATGAGAGATGTCTGACTCATATCTTTCAACCTGAGGATAGCAACAGCAAATGTCAAAGCTTTTCATCTTTCACTATATTTTGTCTGTTGAATTTGCATATTGTTGATAGGTTAAAAACAATTATTTTCATTTCTGAAAGCATTATTTCATTCAAAATAGGTTAGACACCCAGTCAATGCCCCAAAAATGTGTATTTTATTAAAGCTACAGTGTGTAATAATTACAGGGATATAAAGTCAGAAATTTAATATATTATACATAACTATGTTATTTATCATCACCTATGAGCTCAGCCATTTAACCATAATATTTGCGTTGCCTTAGAATTCGTTATTTATAATTACATAGGAGCGGGTCTCGCAGCCATGGAGGCTGACATCTTTGCGCTACGGCAAGCGCAGAGGCAACAAACTAGCGATTGCGAGATCGCCCATTACGCTCGAAAATAACTACGGCAAGTTGAGAGAGATTAACTGAGACGGTACTGAACAGTAGATGGCAGTACTATGCCTGAGAAGCGTTTAGTCTGCCTGAAACCAAAGAAGAAGAAGAAGCAGGTATACTGCGCCTCAGTAACAAGAAAGGTGAACAAGGCGGCAGGCGCGAGTGACTTTGCAAACTGTTTGGCACTGTGTGGCCAAACATCAGACGAATGGAGGATCATGCCTACTCTGTATCACAACGAAAAGCGGCGGGCACCGAACCCCGTCATCTAAGAAGCGGAAACACGACGAGAATAAACGCAAGCGTGACAAGAAACGACAAAAAACACGGATCAACATTGGCACGGCATTTACACGATGGAAGTCACTGATGGAGGAAAAAGGTTTTCAAAGTGACGCTCAAGTTGCCAGTTTTCTCTTGGACAGGTAATTAATCCTATACACACAATTGTCTAATATCACTGCAGTTTTTGGAGTACAGAATGCTCAGACCTGTCTAAAACAATAACATGCTGCGTGATGATGCTGTTACTCTCCAGTATACTTATTCAGCAACGTCCCTGACGTTTCACAGGTAATGATTCAGTAATTTTCTGTAAAATAATTTTCTGGATATATACCTCGGTTACTTCTCTCCGGCTCCTTTGGAGATCTTCAAGCCTTTCTTCCTCTGCTCTCACCCCGCTGGCTCCCCTCCCTCGCCTGGCCCTAGCTGCACGCCCACCCCGGCCTCTCTGCCCTCGCCCTCTTCCTCGCCTTGTAACCCCCGTGCCACAAACAAGACTTGGACTCTGTAAACGGGGAATATATATTCTTCCAGCGAACACAATCTTGCTGTTAAACTAATGACTACAATTCCTTCGTCTGTTTATATCACCATGCAAAGCAGCTCACCAAAACGTCACAACGATGTAGAAAAAATAACGGGTATATTTATTATCTAAAGTCTACATGAAATCTATACCCTACTCAGACTAATGAAATACTATCTGTAAAATTATCTATGTAAACAAACCTCATCACTTGAGAAGGTAGGTGATTCCGACGTCGTGGAAGACATTTTGTCCCCTAACGCTTGCCGTACTGTTGGGGGGGAGAAGCGGTGGGGGGGAGACGTTCATTTTGCTGCAGTCTGGACGTTAGATGTCGCTGAAAATTACACACTGTAGCTTTAAAGCATTTTTGCTCTCCAAAGCTTTTTTCACAAATACGATATTTAAACATTGGTTTGTTTGAAAAGGTTAGAAAACATTTAAGTCCTGAGGTTCTACTTTATCTGGTTTACAGATCATCTTCCCATCCAGAATGAAGGAAAAAGTTGCCATCAGACAAAGATGTATTAAATAATTCTTCCTTGAATTTATATAAAACACTTTTTCTTTTAACAAGAACCCTGAAATATATAAAACCATGTGAGAAACTAAAAAGTGTTTAAGATCGAATCACTGTAATAAAAGAAGTAACCTCCATGTAATTCGAAAGTTTAATATAAAATCATTTCACACCCTGAGAAATTGCTTAAATGGGTTCAAATCCCAAGTTCAAACTTTTTTGATAGTGAGCTTTGTACAAACAAAAACAAAATAGAGAGGGAAAGGAAATAACATTGTAAAAGTCTATCCTTCTTTGAGAAAAACCCTGATATTAATGCTTAAACATTGCCCCAAAAAACCTAAACAATACAACAACCAGTACAATGCTTGATGAATGCTGTTTTACTAGCTGATTCATTACAGGACGGTATAGGCTTTTTAATTTTTACAAACACTATGAAATAAAAGGCAGCAGAGTTGTGATACTGGATGGATCACTATGCTCAATAATGAATTATACAGCTGCAACCGGCCCTTTAAAAAGACTTCATGATGCCCAACTCACCAGATATTACAATGATTTTGACACCTCTGGCCTACTTCATGTAGCTTTAAAAGGTTTTATTAAATATAGACAACTTCTCAGTCTTTTTAGCCCTTTGTAGTCTTGAAATAAAAAAAAGGTCTGACATTTTTTACTTTAAAAATATATATTCTTTTCTGGTTTTATTTTGTTATAGTTGATACTTTAGGTTAACACACGACTCTCCCAAGTATTCAGAAATTTTAAAGAGTACACGTAAAATATATGTTGTTGTGATTGAAAAAAAACATAAGAAAGCCAGACAATATTTGAAAGTCTTTTAAGTGTCTGATAAAAATATTTATTAAAACAAAAGAACTTCAAGGGGTTAAATAAAGAGCTTGTGGAGGAATATTAAGCTTGTCAAAGAAGTCAATGTCTCATGGAACTGGTGTCAGAACAGATGAGGTCAGGTTTTCAGCTAACAGTCATTGAAGTATTCACAATGCACACCACCAAAGTATAACATCTCATACATTCCTTTTTTTTTAAATATTCTTTTCTCAACTAAAATCTGAAGTAGAGTTATTCGTATTCCTGTCCTGGATAAATAGTTTCTTTTTTAACCTCCATAAAGCTTTCTGTGTTCCACCTGACTTTATTCCAACTGTTTTATAATTAAAGTTTGATTGAATGATTGCTACACACAATTAATCCATCATATCTTTTGAAGATGGCTAACTCCCATTTATTTCAGTTGTTATGGACACAACGCCTCCCTGCATGAGGTCAGCCACTTCCTGAAGAAAAGAGTTATAGTTTCAACCTGAATTGCTTTGAATGGAGAAAAAGTTTAACTTTGTTCACCTCTGAACAAAGTTATTCATAAATATTCTTTTGGACCGTATGTGACAATGCACAGCAAGTCTCTGCCTCTGTGGACGTCTCCACCTATTTCTTTGAGGTGGGCATCCAGGAACCTGGCTGGAACTTGTTTGCAGTGCTGGTTGGCTCCTGGCTGAGCTCCTCTTTGCCAAAAATGGCGGTGGATGCATGGCCCTTGGCTACAGTCCTTGTAGGAGTGGCCACCAGTCCCTCCTCGTATTCCTTAGCCTGAAGGGCCAGATCTTTTTCCTCCACCTCTATGGCCTTCAGCTTAATCTTCTCCCTCTGGGACTCATTCAGCATCAGCTCCTGGGTAACAAATCAAACACATTTTTTTGAGCTTTGGATTGATTAACAGGGATGTTTAAAAGCTTCTGAAATCGTTGTTAAAATTAAAAGAAGTTAATTTTAATAGTGCCTCAGCTACTTTACAAAGATGCACAGGTCAGAAAAAACATGACCATCGATGTGTGAAATGATTACCTTCTTATAAAAGCACCTATTAGTTGGAAGGATATAATGAGAAGCTATTTTGTGCTCAAAATTGCAGCTAAATTAAGATGGGAGTTAAGAGTCTGCAGCAGTTTTATATGCATCAAAAGTAAAGCCTATACCTTGATAACGTGATAATGTTTCATTAGTGGATGTAAAAAGATTTCAGATTGATTGAATAAAGAAATTAAAAACTAATTTGCTCTTTTAAAAAACAAAGATAAGCTAACAGTTTCAGTTGGATGGTGCACAGTTGAACAATAGGAGCAAACCCCAGTTATTCTTTATAATTCAACTCCATAATAGAAATGTTCAGGCACAAAAAATAAGGGAAATGATTTGTTCTTGCATTAATCCAATAATATACCTTCTGGATCATTGACACTAAAGCAGTGATCTCCATGATAAAGAACCTGTTTATACCTCCTCTACCGTCACTATAAACTGGTTAAAAACGGTAGAACTTGGTAAACTGAAAAAAGATAGGAGGCCTTTATAACATATTATCGAAATCAATTTAAATCCTGGAAATGTTTATACAACAAACAGCCCACTGGTGGAATAGTTACCCACTTGAGCCCTGCATCTAGTGTCCAGAGTGATATTAGCCTTGCCCTGTCTGAGGCGGCCAAAGAGGAAGGGAGGACTGGACATGATGCTGCTGTGTGCTGGCATAACTGAGGGACTGGGGGGGAATCTGTGGCCAAAAAGCTCTGCTTTGGGGAGGGAGACAAACATACTGAGCTGCTTTTCCAGCCTGTTAATGACAGGATTTAATCCAATCAATTTATGTTGATTTGGACCAGGAAGAGAGGGAGCGTGACAAGGGGCAGGGTAATGTGCTGGGAGTGGAGCTTTGGCTGCATCTACGTCGTCCAGCTGTCGATGGCAGAAAATTGGAAGAGAATGTTCTGGCAAAAAGAAAGGCAGGGGATGGCACTGGCTACTGGCAGGGACAGAGGACGAAGAGACAGAGAGAGTGCCTGAGCACCGGCCTTCCAAGGGATTTCCTATAGACCCACATTTCCTTGGCCAAATCATTTCCAGAATTTGTGCATTTAAAGAGCAATTTACCCAGAGAGAGGAGCGCGGCATGCATGAAAAAACTGCATGCTTTTCCTGTTCCCATCTCTGAGAGTGCCAGAAATAAAGCACAAAGAGCTGAGATGGAGGCTTGTATTGGAAAAAAGAAGTAAAGTGGGACACAGTGTCAGTGAGCCCCCTTATATTCGCAGGCTGTTTCTGCTCAGTCTCACCATCAATGCACTTCAGCTGCTGTTTATTTTAACACCTGTCCCCTAAAGTTCCAGGATTCAGTATGATAAAACAAATCAAAGCTTTTTTTTTCTTTCCAACTCTGCATGTTTCCACTCCCTTGGAGCTAGTCCCCAAGAGTCCAACCATCAGCATAGAGGGGAAACCAGAGGGGGGTTTACCTCAATGGAGGGAGGCTCCTTCCGTCTGCCTCGAATCCAAGCTGCAAGCACAGAAGACAGGAGGAAGGGGAAATAAAACACGAGTGAGAACACCCACACAACAATACGCTGCACAAAAACCTGCAGTCACATTTAAAGGCTGCGGCTCCACCATCACCGTGTAGCAAAAGAGAAAGCCTCCAAGCTTGCAGTGGGATTGGATGCAGGCTTTATGTCACTTTGTAAACTAAAGAGAAACATACAGAGATACTGAGCCTTGCAGAAGTATTCCGTCTCCTTGAACTTGTTCCATGATATGTGACCTACAATAACAGACTTTGTTTTATAAGATTTCGATTTTTTAAGTATTTCATAATTTGGAAGAGTACGGAACAAAAACCTCCAACTTTTACAAATACAAATCAGAAAAGAGTGGGTTTTTATTTGTTTCTTTAGTGCCAAGAGACTGATGTCCTTTTTCTTATTTTGAATGTAAATTGACTTATTCCATTGGCAAAGGGACTCACCTGCTCAATTCAAGAAAAGAATCCACTTATTTTAAGAAAAATTGACTTGGATGGATTTTTTTTCAGTGCTGAGCCATTTCAGTGGAGCTCTGTCTACGAATCAGGTGGTTTTTCTGCTGGAAGGTGAACCTTTGTCCCAGTCTCAGGTCTTTTTGCAGCCTCCATAGGACTATCCTTCGTTTAGCTCCAGCTGTCTTCTTATCATCTCAGCCCTCCTCTAAAGAATAAAACAGCTCGATGAGGCCACTGTGTTTCATTGCACGGATGCTGCATTCCTGTCGATGAGCAGTATTAGTTTTCCTCATTTGGTATAAATTTAAATTTGTTTTTCCAACTAAAAACCTGTATTTGTGGTTGGAAACCAATAATTTAACTTTACCTGGAATTAAAATCCTTAATTGTGTAAAGAAAACATCAAATTAAACAATTAAGTTGCTGAGGAAATATCTACCTCAAGTTAAAGGTAATATTGCTCTAACTCACATGAAAATGGGTGTGGCTGCTAAACCATGAGCCTGGCTGCTGTTGCAATTAATCCAGTCTACTACTCAATGTCCCAGAATATGAATGTCTATGACAGGAGGGCAATTGGTTTTCTAGTGAACATGTCTCTGATATCAAATCGAGAGAATTATTAAAACCTCATTGCTACAATCGTAAAAACTAAAGATTCAGCTCTAAAATATCATGAATTATAAAGCCTATCTCTGTAGTAAGATCATATGAAATTGTTATGCATTTACTCTATGAAATAAAGATTATTTTAAAATGTTGTCAATGTACATTTATGGCTCAGAATATCCTATTTTTCTTAACTTAATTTAAATGAGAAAGATCAGTTTAAAGTTTTAAGTTGGTTTAAAGTATACATTTTTTTCCCTGTTTTGCATTTAGGTCCAAAACCTTAAAGTCACTGACAACAGGACCTCCCGCCTGGGTTGGGGGCTTCTGCAGCTCCTCCAGAGCCACCACTTCTCTTTTAGCTATTCTCCAGTTAATGCCCTCCTTTCCTAGGTTTGCAGTTTCACTCTGTTCAATGTCTAGCATATTGTTTTCTAAACTTTATTGCTTTAAACTTCACCACAGCTTCATCCCCGACCTTTCTGGTGAGTTCCTTGTTCTTGGTGATGCTGTTTGTTCACTAATCCTATCCACTACTACCTACTCAGATCGGTTGGGTGCGGTTCTACAGCGTTCTCTGGCCCTCTTCTGTTGCTCTGACGACAGAGTCTGACAACCGCCATCAGTCAACGCTAATGTTGTGTTACTTTTTGGACTGTGGAATCCATCTTGCTATTAATGACCCCACCCTAACTGAGATGGTAGGCCTTTTAGGAGCAGCTGGATTTAAACTGAGATTCAATTTAAAATTTCAACTTAATCTATTACTTTCTTTCAAGTTTTCATGTCAATAATGAATGCAAAACAGCAGCCCAGGCCGCAGTCCAGGCCGGTAAGCCCCACATCTGGGAAGAAAACGCTTCCATCATTCTCCATCTCCAGCTTTCAAAGCATAGCCTCTGTCCCTGCTTTCCCTCTACAGCAGAACGTTCTCCACCACTCGCCCTTTCCTCTCCCACTGTTGAAGGAGCTCCATTTTGGCTGAGCAGAGCAGGTTAAAGGGAGCCAGAAAGAGAGAGAGCGCAATTTTGCAACTCTTGCTCCAGCTAGCATGGGGATTCTAGGCCTCTTTCATCCGTTTCTTATTTGCATCCTGATGAAAATGCATGAGGGATGGGGCGAGGCAGGATGAGGGGGTTTAAGGTGGATAAAGCCAGTCTGAGACACAGGGAACAGTTTGTATCCAGTTGTGAGACATGTGAAACACTATTTTATGGTACGGTTGTATAACACCGGCAGAAGGCTTCTTTGATAAACTCGTTCCCAGCCCCCATCCCATCTTGCAAGATGGAGAAAAAAAAACCAAATCACAGGATTAGCCGAGGTCCCAGCAGAAGAAGCCATGAGGCTGCCATTCCCTTTTATTTTTGCTGCATTTTCTGGTTTTTTTTTTTTTGAAATTTGTGATAAGTACAATATGCAGCACAGATTCTGCAGTCCAAACTTACCTTCCCACTCCATCGGAATGCTGCCCTCCATATATTCATGCTCTGCAGGATTGGCTGCCTCCACTATCCGCTTGGCACGAACATGCCTCCCTGGAAAGGGACAAAAAAAAAACAACAAAAAACAAAACGATTCAAAAGACAGCAAGTGTGATTTGATGAGGTGTTCGCCAATGTTGCACACGAAATGCAAAGGGATATATAAACACAAAGCAGTCCAGACACAATGCTCTCCAGACACACAGACGAATGCACGCAGGGATGACAGCGCTGTGACAGGCCATGGATGATTACCCCGTGGCCCTCGGGCCCTTCTCCTCAGATCTCGCTGAGTGGCTCCAAATCTGGGCTAAGCCTTTATGCAAATCGGCCTTTCCTTTAACCGAACCAACCACGGCCCCCCTCCAACAGCTACCTCTTCCAATCACAGCGCCCTGGCTAACAATGCCCTCCAAAATCAACATCAAGCACAGCAGGAGACAAAAGAGGTCAGATATCAGAGGGAACAGGAGAGGCATGAGCTGCTTGGAATATTAAGTGCTCCTTCTCCCTATCTGTATACAGCACGACGCTCGCTGGCAGCAAGGCCACTGCCAATTATTTTGGTCAAATCTGCTGATTAGGCAGGTTTAGCTGGCACGTGGTGACATGGAGACGGCGACCAAAGGAGAGGGAGGGGAACTACGGAGACAGGAGAAGAAAGAGCCCATTTTCGTAGGGCCTCCTTTACCGTCGTCATGTTCAAAAATAACAAGTTCTGTGTTTCCATAGTTTCTCCTCTAGCAGGTAGTCAGATGTCTATCTGTGAAAGGATGAGGCGAGGAGGGAGGAGGAAGAAGCAGAGAGAGAGAGAGAGAGAGAGAGAGAGAGAGAGAGAGAGAGAGAGAGAGAGAGAGAGAGAGAGAGAGAGAGAGAGAGAGAGGGAGAGTGATGATGCATGGCGAACATGGCTTGAAGGAGAAAAATGTATGGGCAAGGAAAACAACACGCTCCAAAACACAGACAATCTGTCAGGATTCCATCACTATCGCTCCGCAGCTCACTGGACATGGACAAATGGAGACCAGCAGCACCACGTGCACCGCAGACTGATGGCCTTAATGTTTGCTTCAGCCATAACAGATAGCTTTGGCACTGGGATGGATAAACGATGGCCCTCCAAAGTGACAAACTGAGTTCTGTTTACGAGCCTTAGTTTCCCCCCCTTGAAAGTCAGCGCCTGTGCTTTTCTGTAATTATGTCTTGTGAGGATGCTTCTTTTCCATACTTTATCCACCCCGTGCAGTAATCAGGTCAGCTAATTAGGCTAGTAATGCTTTAGTTCTGCCTTGGTTCCCACCAGATTGAAGCTAAAGGGCCTAGCAGGCTCCAGCCCTGCATGTGGCTTCATGTCTCTGATATCCAAAACCCAGCTTTCTGTAAAACTAAACTAATCAGGATCAAAATCAACAACACGATCCTTAAGTTAGCTAACAAGTAAGATCTTGGATGTTTCTTGAGAAACAAAATTCTAGAAGCTTTGCCTACATAGCGCAACCAAAACAAGTGCCAGCAAACAAAAGGCTGCAACTCTAGACGATTCTAAATTAGGCGTTTAACAGGTATGCTAATTATAAGCAGATCATATCCATATTTGCATCAGGAGTGGGTGGCAGCAGAATGTAATGGGAAAATTGCATCAAAGTCCCCTCATGTGATGTGCTTAGTGAGCTAATACCTAAATAATCTGCATAAAGAAGGGAGCTTACCTTTCTCTGCATCCCTTACCCAGGATTGTTATGACAAATACCATTTGTTTTGGATCCTCCCAGCATGTTTGAAATGGGAGGATCCAAAATCTGTACAAACTGTATTTGGATTTTAAATAGTTACAACCACAAACCTCAGTGTGTTTCATTGGGATTTGATGAGATAGACCAACACAAAGTGGTAAATTATCATGAATACTGCATCTAAATTCAGTCCTTTAACCCTCAAGATTTATCTAGATTAAAAATGCAGCATTAGTGTCAGTGGACAAAAAGAAGCCATTTGACATTTAGTAGGCAACACAGCATACATTCCAATTCACAGGAAAAACAATCTAGGAATGACTAAAAAGTTCTTTGATTAAGCCTATTTACCCTTAATTTGAGAAGTTGGATGAGATTTGCCAATTGAATCAGTATTTTTACTCTTAAAATAACACAATTAGATAATATGCATGTGAAATAAGACAATACAACAGTTTTTTTTTTTTTTCAAATGTAAAGTGTCTCACTTACCTCCTAAATTAAAAAATGCAGTTATTTTAAGTAAAAAATGACTTATTTAGATTTCAGTTTTTTTTTGCTTTGTTAAGCAAGGAGATCTGATTAAATGAGCCCAATGCTGAACTTTCATGCCTGCATGCAAAATACTGTATAGCCTAACGCTAATGCTTCACGAAAAGCTAAAACAATGGCCACAAATAAACATGGTATGGAGAGCATCATGCTGTAGGGCAGCGGAGCAGAGTTTAAGGGAAGAGTTTTTTTTCTCATGTTGGTGCAGCTACATTCCACATATAAAATACCAATAAGAGTATTTGTCAAGACAAAAATACATTCTGCATTCAAGTTATTTTGCAAAGAAGAATGTGCAAAAATATTTTGTGCAAAGAAGTGTTAAGGTGGTAGAAAACACCTGAAAAATACTTGCAGTTGTAGATGAAACAAATGTGGTTCTAAAAGGCAATAATTTAAGGGGCTGAATACAGAGCCATTCTATCATATTGAGATTTTTTTTTTTTGCGTTTAAAATGTTTGAAACAATGTAGCCTTTTGCTGCCATGTAGCTTTTTGCTTCATATTTGCAATATCAAAGTACTTCGTGTGGGTTGGTAACATTAAATTCAACTAAAATACCTTAAAATTAGAGGTGGTAATGGGGGAAAAAAAGGTTTAAGAGGGGAAGATCCTTTTGCAAGACACTGCAGAAAGTGACACTGGATATAAACTAGATGCAACAGACCTTTGGAAGCTTTGGAGGCAGGACATTTGAATTTATATTTTTTGGTAACCAGATCTTAAAGATTTTAGATGCACAAACAAAACAAACACATTCAAATGTCATTTAAAAGAAACCTTGACCAATCTCACATATTCAAATATTTAATATATTGAAATTAAAATCTGAAGCAAATCTTACTTGTTTGTAAAAATAATATAAAATCCAGAAGAATCGATAATCTACGAATTAAAAAAAAGGTATAGTAGCTAAATAGTCGTATGTTAATGATGTTATGTGATGTTATTGCTGGCACATCCAATCACCAGTTTGCAGTCTATCCATCAGCTCCACAGCACTTTCTGCACCTTCCACAAGAGACACAGAGAGCTATGAAGGGTTTTAGGAGCTCACAATCTCAGCGGGACCCCTCATGACATGTCTGCCTCCTCATCATTCACTAGGGAGAAGCCTATTTACTAGGCAAATACACACCTGTACACACACACAAGCACACAACTGGCTAGAGAGCAAGGCAGATTAACCTGAGGGACAGGAGTGAGGACGCTGCCTCTTTACCGTGAAGGACAAACGCAGCGCCGCCTTGGAGAGGAGGGGGAGGGTCCAGCGGCAGGGAGGAATGAAACCCCACAGCATAAATATTCATGAGCCATCTCACCTGTCTGAGCACAACTCATCTGTGAGGCTGGCTGTGAATCCTTGGGGGAGGGGAGAGGAAAAGGAAGGGAGGAAGGAAGGATGCAGGAGTGGGATGGGATGGGTGAGGGGGGTTGCTGTTGCAGAGGTACCTCAATCCTTCCCATTCGTTAAAAGAAGACATGATGCGCTCGGAGGGCTGCTCCTTGAACCCTGAACACACCCCACTAAACTCCATCACCTGCTTCAACACCCACAGCCCCCCCACCCCCCAACAATCTCACACATCAGCTCCCCTGTGGGTACAGCTGGGGGCGGCCCGAGAGGTTCTTCACCTCTACAGCGTCATCCAAACATCTTTCTACGATCTATTTTGCTGTGCCTTGTTTTTCTCTGTACTCATTTTTTTTTCTTGCAGAAAAATAAGTCAGGGGGAAAAAATGTTACTCAACAACAGCTGAAGAGATTCCTTGAAACTAACTGAAACCATCAGATTGAGCTCTGTGCACTTGACTCCAACAGGTAGATTATGTCACTACTGCCCTTCTCTAGCAGCAATGACATTTACATCTTTAAAAACACCTTTTCATCTGTGTTGTACGAGAACAGAGAACAAGACAGCAGAATCAGACCCAGTCCCTTAGGTTTGTCCCTTGTCAGCCTCCAGCCTCTTCTTTTGAGGAGTACCAACAAGTCACTACACAATCCTGGCATTAAAACAAATAGAAAAATACAAGAGTAGCCCAACAAAATAAATGATCTAGATAACCAGATAGACTCCCATTCTTCAGGGTAGATATCATGCATGTTTTAGATGTGTCCCTAACAACAGTGAGAGAGCCTGTCGAAGAAGTCATCGTCTGCATCTTGGACTACTTCCATGTTAAAACGTGTATCTTTGTGTTGGGCTTCAATTACAACCTGCCTGAAAATCAGAAGTGTGAAAGAAGTGTGGGCTCACTGTGCAAACTAGAAATTTGATTCTGTGTTGCCATCGATCCTGGAAGGACGTTAATATTATCCTGCAGTCTGTATTTCACCAAAGAGGGAATTCCAAAAAAGGGACTCACCTGCAGACAAGTGTTGCTGCATGTGCAACTTTTACCAAATGAGCAAAAGACTAGGAAACAATGATAAATCAAGCTAAATATGCTAATATCAATATGTCAAGTCAAATTTTAGGGATGTCCAAGTACACTTTTTCATTTCCAATATGATACCGATACTGATATCGAAAATATCAGACATTTGCGATACTGGCTGATTGAATCCGATATCAGTTTTTTTGCTAATATCAGACCGATATTCAATATTATTATAGGATTGGGACATCCATATCAAATTCTCCTAAAAGAAAAAATAGAGGTATAAAAAGTAGTTTGAATAAACATTTTAATTTTTTCCCCCCTAAAATTTATTAAACATGAATTTACAGTCAATTTCAGAAGGCCTTCATAAGTGAAATACCA